CCCTAAATTTTTAATTTATTCTTAAAATAATATTTTAATTCTCCTAACTAAGAAGCATCATTCTATAAGTCTTAAAACTATACAATAGAACTAATTTTGATATTCTACTATTCTTGGATATTTGGTTGATAAGTTTTAAATTTTAATTATGAATAATCCTAATCATTCCTAATGACATTTATGTTAAATTTTATTTACTTTAAGTTGATTAGAGTGCACAATTTAGAAATCGATCAATTCGACTAAACCACATTGATTCAATTTAAGTTGATTAGTTTGCTTATTATATAATAGTGGATTGAATTGGTTTAAAAATTTTATTAACCGATTAAATTAGATTAGTTTATAAAATATTAAAATCTGAACCAAACCACATCGCAAACACTCTTAAATTTAGGGGCTTTTTTCTTTCCCATCTCATTTCACCATCTCTGTTGCTTCTCCTTTCTTCTTGTTGACACAACGACAAATCTCCTTTCTCTTTCATTTTTTTTTTTTATTTCATGTGATTTACTGCTCCCAAGTCCTATTTCAAGGGGATGATAGTAGTATTGGTGTTGGGGATTGAGATTGTATCTAATTCTTACTTCTCTTTCAATTTTTGTTTTCATTGTTCTGTTGCAACTCCTAGTTTTTCTTCCTCTTGGTATGCCATTAAAACTCTCCAGAAACAAAATTGAAGCATTTCTTAATGATTGAAAGGAAAAGAAAAGTAGAAAAAAAAAAAACTCAATGTTTCGGATAATACTGAAACCGTTTGAAAAAAGCCAAAACTGAAAAATACCCAAAAAAGTAAACTCAATATTGTAGTGATGGTAGTCTGAGGTCACATACCTCGAACAGTTTAAGCTATTTCTAACAATCTAGTCACATTGACGTTGTTTAAAGAACGACGAGCTTAGTCGAGTTCGAGCTTGTCCCATTTACTCTTGTTCTACAGTGACTTCGTACATGCACAAATCTTTCAGGAGAGTTTCCTATGATCATTGACACATATGATCCTGATTGTTCATCAAGAATAACAAGTGGACACCCCCTTGAAGGCTATAAATACCCTTTAAAGGCTCTCCTCGAAAGGTAATTGAAGCTGAACTTAAGCTTAGCTCTTGCTTCATACCTAGTAGCTCTAATTATTGCTAATTTAGGCATTGAAGTATCTACCTCGAGGATCAACCTTGAGGCTTTGCAGGTTAGTGGAAGTGAAGATCCGAGCTTGGGAGCATTTCGGAGTTCTTTGCAACAACATTTGGCGTCGTCTGTGGGAACTCGAGCTAAGAGCCTTATCGGTGGTTGCTACGATGGTTAACACATGTTCAACGCAGCACGGAAGCCCTCAATAGGGTTGAGGAAGAGGTCAATTCCCAAGTGATAACCCTACGTCTCAAACTGTACCAACTCCCATTGCCCAACATCAACATGTGGAAGGGACTGGAGAGAATAACTCGCAACACCCAGTAGAGGTCCCAAATGATGCCATAGCTGCCCAGCTCAACATTATGCAACAACAGTTCAGCGTGTTTCAGCTTGTGTTTGCACAGTTATTAGCTAGAGACAACTTGAGCGATCCCCTCATCACTCTATTAAGTCTGACTAACCACGCACCTAATCACTAGCCTCAGCAAAATGTTAATTCACCAGTCTGGATTACCGTTCTACCTCAAAGCGAGTCCTAAGGCCACTCCCACCTGGCACCTCCACCTCCAAACCCACCTTAGCCAGTTATCTTAGACGTTTCCAAAAGGTTGGACAACCTAGAAAGAATGATGGTCGAGAACCAAAATGCCCAACCTCTGACTCCGCCTAATTCTACCCTCATCCCTACCCCCTTAATACCAATATCATCTAAGAACCATACCCATCCAAATTTAAAATGCCTCAATTCGAGATGTATGATGGCACTAAAGACCTTGATGATCAGTTGTACGCATTCTACTCTGTTATGCAAGCTCAAAATGCCTTAGATACCTTGATGTGCAAAATATTCTCCTCTACATTGCGTGGTAACGCTCGGACTTGGTACTATAGTCTACAGTCAAACTCAATCAGTTCATACGCTAAGCTGGCAGCATCTTTTGCAACTAAGTTCTCAAGTCGACGACTGATAAGAAAGACAATCTCCGAGCTTATGCGGGTAGTCCAAAGGGAAGGTGAATCTTTGAAGAACTACATGAATAGATTCAACGATGCTGTGTTGGAAATCGACTCATTTAATCAAGTTGTGGGGTTAGCTGCCATAATTCAAGGTCTCAAGCACGAGAGATTTCGAGACAACCTGATAAAACATCCTCCTACCACATTTGATGAAGCCAATGAGAGATCGTGTAAGTTCATTCGAGCTGAAAAGTGTGCCTTGTCTAGTAAGCCCACACCTAGTAAAAGAGGTCAGACCTTTGACCTAGAGAGAGGAAGGGTAGAGTAAGAAGAGATTCAAAGTTATGTAGAACCGAGGTCCACTCCCTATTAAAGTTGATAGGCCTAGCCTCAATACCTTGCAACCTACGACAAAGCAATCACTTGGACTCCATTCACATTGCCGAGGTCATAGATTTTGATGCAAATTAAGAACAAAATGGAGCTCAAGAGGCCTCCAGCTAGGCGAAATTTGCTTGTCTCCAGAGATCACAGCAAGTATTGTGACTTCCACCAGGATCATGGACACACCACAGAAGAATGTAACAGTCTAAAGTCTGAACTTGAGGGTTTAGCTCATAAAGGGATGTTGAATGATTACATCTCAAATAAAGATCAACTCAAGTTTGTGCGAGAGCAAAGGCAACGACCCCAAGGACATTGAGATGCAAACAATAAAACCGAAGTCAGTTACCAACCACCACTTCCTCCACCCTCACACATCATTCACATGATAACTGGCGGGCTTGAAACTGGAGGAACGAGTTTTAGGTAACAAAAGTTGTATGTGAGGAAAGTGAAGCATCAAAGTCGAGCTCAAAAGAGGAAGTTTCATAATGAGGAGTGGAAAGGCCAGCCCATAATATTCACATCAGCCGACCTCGACAGCATTGTTAGTCCACACAATGACCTACTTGTCACCTCGATCATCATCAACAATTGCGAAGTCCAACATGTCCTAGTGGACACTAGAGGCACCCTAAACATTATGTATATTCACTGCTTTGAAAGCCTCGGCCTTGATCCCGCTCTCTTTCAGAAGTATGACGGTCCTATTTATGGATTCAACAATCAACTAGTTCCCGTTGAAGGGGTATTAAGGTTCGGCGTAGCATTTGGCTCAGGTCGGACATGTCACTCCCTCAGTTCGGTTCTTAGTTATGAAGATGGCGTCATCTTTTAACATAGTCATCGAAAGGCTAACTCTGACCGAGATTCGAGCTATCGTTTCACAGTCCCATCTGTGTGTGAAATTCTCCACACCCATGGGAGTGGCGACCTTGAAAGGCAACCAAGAGGTGGCCAGACATTGCTATATGACTTTGGTAACCCGACCTCAAAAAGATAATCAAGTAATTCCCCTAGAACTAGCTCAGCTTGAAGTTCTAGCTACACAGTAGATAATGGGTGTAGAATTGCTAGATAATAGACCTAAAGATCAGGTTAGGGTCACTTCAATGAAGGAGATAGAAGAGGTACAAATTGATGACAACAACCCCACTAAGAAGACACAGATTGGGACTAAGCTGGACTTGAAAGAAAGAGAAGAGCTTATTTACTTCCTAAAGTCGAACAAAGATGTATTTGCTTGGACCTCTACTAATATACCTGGAATACCCACCTCGGTATTGGTGCACAGACTGAGCACTAATCCTCTAAAAAAGCCCGTAGCTTAGAAAAGATGCTTGTTTGGAGGAGAGAGGCTGCAAGCAGTTAAGGAAGAGGTGAAAAAGCTCTTGCAGGCAGGGTTTGTAAAAAGAGCGAACTATTGCAAATGGGTTGCTAATCCTATTTTAGTCAAGAAGTTGAATGGCAAATAGAGAATGTGCATTGATTACACTAATCTTAATGATGCTTACTCGAAGGATTGCCATCCCTTGCCGAGTATAGATAAACTAGTGGAAGTTGCTTCTGGAAGTAAAAAGTTTAGTCTTTTAGATGCTTACTCAAGGTACCACCAGGTCCACATGGCACCCAAGGACGAGGTGAAGACTTTCTTTTATGCAGGTGATGAGATCAACTACTATGTAATGATGTTGTTTGGGCTCAAGAATGCAGGGGCCACATATCAAAAAATTGTGACAATCATATTTTGAGCTTAAATCGGTAAGAACCTAGAAGTTTACGTTGATGACATAGTAGTAAAGAGCCTCAAGGTAGAGAATCACTTGACCAACCTAGCAGGAACATTTGACAACTTGGGGAAACCCAGTATGAGATTGAACCCAACCAAGTGTGTCTTTAGTGTTGAATCTGCTAAATTCCTAGGATTCATGGTTTCTAGAAAGGGGATAAAGGTCAATCCCGAGAAGATAAAGGAAATAAAGGAGATGAAACCATTGAAGTCAATCAAAGACGTGCAATGCGTAGTTGGGAGAGTAGTGGCTCTACACAGGTTCATCTCGCAGTTGGCAGATAAATGCCTGCCTTATTTCAGAGTTTGAGGTATGTGGCACAGAAAGAGGAAGTGAGGAAGCCTAAGAAGTTTGAATAGACCTTGGAGTGTTAAGCTACCTTTGACGAACTCAAGACATACCTCAGTTCACCACCACTGTTAACTAAGGTTAAAGGGGGGGAGATTCTTTACCTTTACCTCGGGATATCCAACACAACAGTAAACTTGGTTTTAGTTAGAGAAATGGGAAAGCAACAGAGGCCAGTGTATTATGCCAGCAAGATGCTACAAGGAGCTGAGCTGAGGTACTCCATAATAGAAAATGCTGCTTTGGTGGTTATTACCACAGCCAGGAAGTTGAGGCCATACTTCCAAGCCAATCCTATTATTGTACTAACTGACTAACCCTTGAGGCAGACTTTGCAAAAGCCGGAGTGCTCAGGCAGACTCATCAAGTGGGCAGTGGAGTTAAGGGAATTTCAAATCACATTCCAACAAAAGTCATCAATCCGAGCTCAAGCTTTGGCAAACTTTGTGGTAGAATGCGCATCAAGTCGAGAGAGTATTAACTCCGAGGTTGAGCTATAAACCCTCTATGTTGACGAGTCATCAAGCAGCAAAAGGTCGGGTGTTGGAGCAGTGTTGATGGGGCCAAAGAACTTTCGAAGTGAGCATGTCCTAAAATTCAATTTCGACGCAACAAATAACATGGTCAAGTATTAGGTACTACTCCTCAACTTCGTTTGGCAACGGAGCTCAAGGTTAGATCTTTACAAGTTTACAGTGACTCATAGCTTGTAGTCAACTAGGTGAATTTTACATGTGAGGTCACAAATCTAACCCTATCCAAGTACTTAGCCATGGTTTCTGAATTAAAATGCCGATTTGAGAGATTCCGGTTCACAAAAGTCCCGAGAACAAAGAATGAGAATGCAGATTCCTTGTCGAAGCTAGCTTCTAATAGTTCTAGTGGAATGAGGTCCAGCTATGTCGAGGTCCTTAGTGAACCAAGCTTTCATAGGTTAAAGCTGATAGAGGTTAGTGTTGATCCAGAAACCCCCAGCTGGATAGATCCCATTAAAGCCTATCTCCGAGATGGAACTATCCCAAATGACAAGCTAAAAGAAATGAAGTTGTGGAGAAAGGCATCTTGGTACACATTGGTTGATAGTGTCTTGTATAAGAGGTCATACTCACTTTTTCTCCTTCGTTGTTCAACCCCTTACCAGGCCGAGTATGCCCTTCATGAGTTGCATGAAGATGTATGCGAGAGTCATATTAGAGCTCGAACTTTGGCCCACAAGGTACTCCGACAAGGACACTACTGGCCCAATATGTAAGAAGATGCCAAAAAGTATGTTTAGAAGTGCCAAAAATGCTAATTCTTTGCACACCTCACTCACCAACTAGCGGAAGAACTTACTAACTTGGTTGCACCGTGGCCTTTTGCCCAATGGGGGATAGATCTTTTGGGTCCTTTTGTCAAAGGTGTGGGAGGAGTGACACACTTGGTCGTGGTAGTTGACTACTTTATGTAATGGGTGAAAGCTCAACCTCTTTCTAGTTTGATCTGAAAAAAGATTGAAGATTTTGTTTTCAGCGCGGTTATCTATAGGTACGGGATATCAAATCAAATCGTCATTGACAACGGGTCTTAGTTCAATTGCACCTCTTTCAAGGACTTTTGCTCTAGCTATGGGATTAAGTTGGTATTCACCTCAGTTTATCATCCCGAGGCAAACAGAATGATTGAATTTGTTAACAAAGTTATCTTAGAAAGTAATCAAGTTGAGGTTGGATCAATGTAAAGCTAAGTGGGTAGATGAGCTCAATAATGTCTTTTAAGCTACTGAACTACGAGCCAGACAACTATATGCAAAACGTCCCACCATTTGGCCTTTGGGACTGAGGTAGTTATTCCTGTCGAAATCAATGTCTCAAGCTTGAGAGTTAGCCATTTTGACTCAAGATAAAATGACCTGTTACTTCGGGAAAACCTTGATTTCTTGGACGAAGTCCATGAGTAAAGCTTGACTTCGAACAATGGCATATAAGTAGAAAGTAGCCAGCTTTTACAATAAGCAAGTCCAGCCCCAAAGTTTCAAAATTGGTGACCTTATTCTGAGAAAGGCAAGACTCACTGGTTTCAAAACCCACTTCGGCAAGCTAGTGTCGAACTAGGAGGGTTCGTATGTAATAGCTGAAATATCTCACCCCGGTGTTTATGTACTCTGAAATGCCGAGGGTACGAAGGTCCCTAGAGTGTGGAATGTAAATAATTTAAAGAAGTTTTATTCTTAATAAAACTTGGTCTTATCCAAATATAACATTATAGTTTCTTAAGTCGAAGTTAGAAATTCACTTCTACTTCAGATTAAATATGAACTTGACCATTGTAGTTATACTTCTACTATTTTACTTCGGGAGTCAAGGTTAGATATTTTATTTCAATTCTAATATCATTTTCAAGTTCTATTTCAAGTTATCTTTGAGGTTGGAAGCCATACATTCATATCGAAATCATAATAACATTAATTTTTCTAACTTTTAATTCATTAACTTAAAAATAAAATACAAGTGTTTGTGCTTTACAATTTCAACAAAAAGGTGAGCTAGTCGAGTTCAGTCGATCACTTGATGCTGTTGATTCACCTCTTGCTCAGCGACATTGTCCCCAACCTCGGTATTACCAAGAATCTCGGCTTCATTCTCGTCAACAACGACGAACTCATACTCCAGATGTAAAGGGAGCATAGTTCGTCCAGCATCATCCCGCTCCCAACTGAGTTATATCTAGGCAAAACTCGGCTGTTTTGCTCTCCTCGTCCTCTTCTACTCCAGCCTCTTGAGGTTCAAATGTGCTTTTTGTCACATCCACCTCAGGGTTCATAGACCCTTCACCTTCTTTCTACAGTCGATAAAGGCCATCACTAGCATAGGCAGGCGGAAGAGGTCCACAATCTCAGAGAAAGTTGCCGAGTTGACGAAATTGGAAACATGCTGCTCAATTGAGTTGTGCACCTCCAACTCGGAT